ATAATTTTTTAATAAAAACGTTGTTTTATAAGCGACTTGAAACTATGTAAAAAAATATCTTCAAAAAAATTTACACTTTTTGAAATAATGAGTGTTGTTTGATAAAAGAATCACCCAGTATAAATTATAATAAAATAATATTTACTTTTTTACATATATATAGGTAGGTATATAAATTGTTTCTAATGAATTTTGTATACAAGCAATATAATTATAATAATAATAATAATTCATATTAATAGTCTTCGGAACCTTCGGAGTCCAGGGTTTTTTCTGTTGATTTTACTACATATTTGGCTGATCCATGAACTTGTTTTAATAAAGACTTGTTTCCCAAAATTTGTTCATAGAATTCTTCACAAGATGTATTATTGAAGCACGTTTTTATAATAAGAGAAGCTTCTACCGTTTTTATATCAAGTTTGTTTCTTGAATTTGTCCATGTGTTGTTCATCAGTGAAAAAACACGTTCCACAGCTGCATTTGAACCCGGTAAAACAAAACTAAATTCAACAACTTTTAATAGCTCAAAAAATACATGATTATTATCGGTGAATATTTTGAAAATATATATCCATTTATTTTCTATTTCTTGACAATGCCACTCATCATTTTGTTGATGAAAAATGTTTTCAAAAACATTAAATTGTTCAAAAAACATTTCTTCATCAAAATTAACATTATTTGACATTATAGTTTTTATAAAGATTACTGATTTTTTGACATTTTCCCAATTTACTATTGTCTTTGGGGCTAATGTTATCCATAACATTGATTTTAAATTATTTACATGTTAATTTGAATTATTCCATTTTTTTAAATAGTTTTAACAAAGTACATAAAATTCGTCACATTTACTTTCAAAATTAGTTCTATTGATAAGTCCTTCGTCCTCAAGTTTTGTTGCGAGATTTTCAATTTCTACCGTGAGAAACTGATCCTTTCTTTTGTTTTCAATTTTCTTCATAATGTCTTCCATAATAATCATTAATTCGATCGCAGATAATTTTTGACTTTCAACTTTCTTTATAAACGAGTTTATAGTTTTTAACTGACTACACAAAAACTTAAGCCATAACGAAGCACTTTCATTTTCAAAAAAAATTTTGAGAGCATTTGGACAATTGTTTTGAGACAGAAAATATGATTTCAAACCATCAAAAATTGATATGATGCGTTCAATAGCAGGAAAAAGAGAAAGCCACCTAATTATAACGAATACTTAACTTAAGTATTCGTTATAATTAGTTTCTAGTAGTGCTGTGAATAATGGAATTTTTAACTCAAGTACTCGTTTAAATATATCTAAAGTGGAATTCCATCTTGTCACTACATCCTGAATAAGAACAAGTTGGAAGAGAATAGCCCAATTGTTCTTGTACTGATTTTAACTTTCATGCGGCCTGCGAACTCCTTTTAAAATTACTCCCTATACCTCCAACTTTTTCTTTTACTTGCTCGATTCAATTCAATACATTTTGCACAACTATGATGAGACTATGGGCAAAACAACGTATATGTCTCCAATTACATAGTTCAACTGCCTTAGTTATATTGGAAGCATTATCTGTTGTGAATGCAACAACTCTATTTTCTAAACCCCATTCATGCAGTACTCTTATCAATTCCCTTTTCTAATTATCAGCGGTATGTGCATTATAATATTTAAAACAAATGTGTTTTAATGGCTATGAAACTTTCATTTTGCAGAGGAGATATCCAACCATCAGTTGTAATACTTTCAAAATTAGTATTGGCCAATATATCCGATTTAACCTTATCGTCTCATTGTAAAGGATAGAAAGAAAAGAAGTTGACAATGTTTTCCAGGACGGCAAATCATACCCAGGGTTCAACATTTTTATAATTTGTCTAAATTCTTTATCCTCTAAAATGCTAAATGGGTATTATTCCTCGAAAATCATTCTCAGAAGCTGTTGATCAAGCAGTGTACGCCGCGAAGATCCTATGTGTCAAGGTAAATATTTATCTATGCTATTTTGTACTTTATTGGACACTCCTGATGGTGTATTTCTTGTTTCAGCATGTGGATCAGACTTAGAAATCGACTAAAAAAATCACAATATATTTTTATTAGGTGTATTATAATTTATAATATTCCAGGCTGTAAATGTATTCACTGACTTAGAAACCGGAGGATTTTCAGATACTTCAACTCTAGGGTCATCAATATTATAAATATTTGCTGTGTTTTACATTTTAAATATGTTTTAATCTTAAATGTCTAGTCATATTGGAAGTTGATAATTTACTATGTATCATGACATCACGACACAAAAACAACGGAAATTTTTTTTTTCATTATCCAACTTAAAATAATTCCACTCAACACTCTTACTCATATTGGATCACTTTTTAAATATGTGTCTAAATTAGTAATTAAATAAATAACTTGCCAAATGCCAATACTTAGTTCAAGACAATAGTCTACAGCATATAGTTTTATCATTTAATAGTTTTATTAAAATGCTATAAGATGGTATTTTTGGTTATTTTTAGATTTGCAGAACCTCAATAACATAGTAATTTGTAAAGTAGTATCTACTATACATATCGTTTTATAGTTTACATTTTTATTTAGTAAGGTCATTGTAATAGTGTAATGTTATTATATTAGTGTACATTATTGATATTTAGTAAGTCACCGTAATAGTATAATGTTAACAGGTCTTAAAAATATTCTATTACATTATTTTATGTCATATCAAAACAAAATAAAAAATTTAATTTTTTCTATTTAGTATGTTTTATCAAAACTTTTATTTTACTTTTTACATGTGTAAAAAACTTAAGAATTATAACTATAAAATTGTGTAATTCACGAATGAATCAGTTCACTGAATTGGATTCACTTAGGTGAATTAACTCGGTGTCTATACTCAGAGACGTATTTATGTTTTTGGCGCCCTGGGGTACTGTTCCTTAAAGGAGCCCTCTTTTAATAATAACAGTTAACTCTGATATGGGGTGATTATTAAAAACAAAAACATTTTCAATACAAATATTTATATTATGGTAAATTAATTAATAAACATTTAGAAAAAAATATTATAGTTTTCTTCGTGAATTTTGTTTGGCAAATGTATTTATATTTTATAATGTCATTAAAGCTCATATCCATGGTAAGTGTAGATTCAATCGACAAGATTGCTAACCTATTAGGACGATCATCAGTCATTTTCGACCTCAAATAAGATTTAACCCTCTTTAATGCTGAAAATGATCTCTCGGCTGAACAATTGGATGTTGGACAGCATAAATACATCCTTAATGCTATATCTACGTAAGGAAACACTTCTTGAAGTTTTTCAGTTCTGATCATTTTACAAATATCCATCACAGTTTTAGGTCTTATGTTTTCAGTTAAGTTCATTAAATAGCTTCTAAATTGTATACACTCGTTAGCAAATGAAGACGAAAGATCATTTGTATATATATTTTGAAGTATTTCTGCTTTTTTATAAACTTCTGATGGTGATAATTTTATTATTTGAAATAAAAAGTTAAATTTTTTATTGGCTTCATCATAGTAGAATTTTCTTTTTTCTAGTTCAGAATGTAGATAATAATAGCACAATAAGTATTAATCCTTAAAGAGTCTCGAATTTCGTACATGGACAAACATGGTGTATGCCGTGTATTCAGGGCCGGCGTTAGGGGTGGGCAACCAGGGCCTACGCCCAGGGCGCTTGTTGAAAGGGGGGCGCCTCAATGATATAATGTTAAAACTGAAAAAAATATAGGAATATAGTTATACTTATAATATTCTATCCATTCTATTGATTATTATTTATTATGGTTGGTGTATAATAATTTAGTCCATAAATGATAAATGATTATTAGTGCCGGATCACACTATGCGTTTTTTCGGCTGCCGATAAAACGCAACCGATCGGGAACTCCATAATTTACATTAAACCGCGTTATCAGGGCCAGACTGACCGAATCGGCAGACCGACCGTTATCGCTATTTATTTGGAATTGAGATATTAATAGCATTAGATAGCAACTGACGCGACAAAATGCATTGGACGTTGCGATTAACATTATCGATTATTTCTGTAACATATTATAACAGATAATATCATATTTGGTTATTTAGTTGTGTACAGTGTACGTGTTGTACTAGTATCATACTGCCATTTGTTATTACTAAGTCCTGTACAATTTTGTTTTACACGTTTACTGTTTCACTGTGTTTCTCTACCTTGACTACGATTACTATTTGTCTCTACCTCAACTACGATTTGGATTTAAAAGGTACATTCAAGTTTATTTATTAGTTTCATCGGTATACCGACATATTATTGCCGTTAAATATAGCAAAACGTAAACATTGTATTATAATTTATACTATCGCTATTCGCTGGTAATACAATATTTACTACGTTTATAATGTTTATATGATGGCGTTAAAATGGTTTAAAAAATGTAAACTGTTTTAAAAGTTAAAACGCTCGTATGGTATGTAGTTTAAGAATTTAAAACCGATTTAATTTTAAACCGTTTTAACGCGATCATATAAACGTAGTATTTGATAGCCAGTACAGGAAAATGTTTAAAAATTAAATTTTATACTTAAGAGGACGTCATACCCGCATGTGTTGTCTCCGTCTTACAAGTGCGTAACATAGAAAATATGACGGTCACGGAGACAACACATGCGGGTATGACGTCCTCTTAATACGTACTAAGTTATATTCTTATTTAATAACATTTTTTTATTATTAGGTTTATAATATATTTATTTATATATTTATTAGGTACAAAATACATAATATTTTAGTATTTAGTTTTTATTTATTCAGCATAAATCATTGACATTATTATATAAACATAAGTTATATGTCAAAACTTATACGTATGTATTTGAATATAAAAATATTCATTATAATTCAGTTCAATTTACTCCTCTCTAATATATATTTTTATTGTTAACTTTTCAGTTTTCATATAATATTACAGAATATTTAATTAAAATGGGAAAAAAGCTTTCGGAAGCACAGAATAGAAAACGAAAGGCAGAAGAAATCGCTGCTAAAAAAAAGGAACAAAATAGTATGGAAAAGTTCTTTAAACCTATTGATAACAAACCAATAGAATCTTTTGAAAAATCGAATGAAACTTTTGATTCCGAATTAATGGATAGTGGTACCTATAAACAAAAACCTAGTTTAGACATAGAAAAAAATGAAATTCAAACACAATATGATGAACTCAGATTTGACGACGACTTAGATGTTCTAAATGAAAGTACTGTTTGTGATGTCAGTTATTTGGAAAATCCAGCCGAGTGGCCATTAGCAATAAATATGAAACGTAATATTATAGATAGAATAGTAATGATTGGTCCAAAAAAAATATTTGAAAATATATCTTATCCGCTAGATGAGCATAAAAGGCATTTTTCTAATTTTCATGTATATCGTAGTTGTGAAAATGGTGAAAAAATTAAAAGACGATGGTTAATTTATTCAAAAACTTCTGATAAAGTATATTGTTTTTGCTGCAAACTATTCAAGCCAGATAGTGGAACATCGTTAGGACACAGGGGTTGTAATGATTGGAAGCATATAGGGTCTATATTAAGTGATCATGAAAAATCTACACATCATTTTATTGCTACTAGCATATGGATTGAATCTGAAACCCGTCTAAAAAAAAATGCTTGTATAGATGCTCAAAATCAACATATATATGAACAGGAAAGTCTTCGCTGGACAAAAGTTTTTGATCGGTTAATAAGTATAATTTTGTACCTCGCTCAACACAATATGGCGTTTAGAGGTACATCTGATAAATTATTTCAACCAAATAATGGAAATTTTTTAGGCTTAGTTCAACTTCTTGGTAAGTACGATGATGTAATGGCAGAACATTTACGTCACATATCTAAAAAATCGAATAGAAAACATTACTGCAGTCATGAAATTCAAGATCAATTGATAAACTTAATGGCTAATAATGTTCGTGATACTATTATAGCTAATCTTCATGATGTAAAATATTATTCAATTATTACAGATTGTACACCAGATATAAGTAAATCAGAACAAATGTCATTCACTGTTCGTTTTGTCGAGAAAGTTGGAAATAGCATAATTATAAAAGAACATTTCATTGGTTTTAAAACTGCTACTGATTCTACCGGATTAGGTCTTTCACAGCTTATGTTGCAAACACTCAAGGATAACAATATTGAATTTACCAACTGCAGAGGACAAGGATATGATAATGGGGCCAACATGAAAGGAAAAAATCAAGGAGTTCAGGCAAGATTATTAAATATAAACCCAAGAGCATTTTATATTCCATGCAGTTGTCACTCTTTGAATTTAGTTGTTGCCGATGCTGCATCGTCTTCTAAAGGATCAATTTCTTTATTTGGATTAATTCAACGGGTATATGTATTATTTTCGGCTTCTGTGAACCGTTGGGAGATTCTTAAAAGGCATATATCAGGATTTACTGTTAAGCAAGTATGTACAACTCGTTGGGAAAGCCGCGTAAGTGCCGTTAAAGCAATGCGTTATGAAACAAATAACATAGTTAATGCGTTAATAGAAATTTCTGATTCACCAAATGCTGACGCAGGTCTTCGTCATGAAGCTCAATGTTTAGCCGATAACCTATGTGAATTTGAATTTCTTATCTCACTTGTTGTTTGGTACGATTTACTGTTTCAAATCAATGTAGCTAGTAAATCAATGCAAGGAATCACTATGGACATAATCACAGCCACTTCAATTGTTAAAGGTTGTTTAAATTATATTATTTCTTATCGAAATACAGGATATATTTGCGCTGTTTCATCTGCTAAAAAAATTGCTGAAACTTTAAATGTGGAAACAAGTTTCAAACCCAAAAGACATAGACTAACTAAAAGACAATTTCAATATGAAAGCTTAGACAATTATGAACCTACTCCAGAAGAGGAATTTAAAAGAGATTTTTTCTATTGTCTTATAGATACAAGTATAACATCAATACAGTCACGTTTTGAACAGTTGGAATCTCATAAAAATACATGGGGATTCTTATATAATATTTCTGATTTGCCTGAACATGATACTTTGGTAAAACATTGTATGGATTTACATAATACACTTAAAAATGAAGACCAAAATGATATCAATGGAGTAGATTTATGTGTTGAATTAGAACATATTAAAACTCTATTACCAAAAGATGTATCTTCTCCAAAAGCAGTATTGGAATATATGTTACAATCTAATACATCTGATCTATTCCCAAAAACCTGGATATCCTTAAGAATTTTATCAACAATTCCTGTTACTGTTGCTAGTGGTGAGAGAAGTTTTTCGAAATTAAAACTTATTAAAACGTATCTGCGTTCGACATTGGGAGACGAAAAATTGACATCTCTAGCAATCCTTTCTATTGAAAATGAAATAGCTCAAAGAATGGATTTCTCAGAAATTATTAAAAATTTTGCAAAATCAAAAGCAAGAAAAGTTTTTATCAAGGTTTAGTATCTTCTTTTTTTTTTTGTTAAAATATATAAATAAATAACGAACTGTTAATTGTAATATGATATGCATTTGTTTGTTTGTTTTTTTTTAATAAAATAATACAGTATATATTATATTTATTTATAAATAGTACAATAAGCATAAGTGATGTTTTTAAATATGATTTGTTGACGTAAGTAAAGGAACCATCAAATGATGGCACTTGAATTTTATTTAATTTAAAATAAAATGACTACTATTCATATGGGGAGGGGCGCATATTCGTTTACTCGCCCAGGGCGCCAATGACCCTACTGCCGGCACTGCGTGTATTATTTATTTCGTTCGATTCTGTAGACAATTGAGTTTTACTAGTTTCGGTACTGCTGTTATTTGATAAAATTAGATCGTCTGGATTAGATAGATTATCTTCCTTAACAGTACAGCTACGATCATTTTTGCTTGTATTATATACTTCATTTTCAACTGAAAGCATTTAAGCATAAATAAAAATGATTAAATATATCTAGATTTTAGTTTAAATTATGTACATTGAATAATAAATAACAAACAATATGACGTATATAATATAATATATAGATTATAGGTACATGATATTTGCAAAATTAATAACAGGTATAGTTTTGTAGGTAAATAAACATACTTTGGTTAGGCTGTCTATCTGGGCACCTAAAATATGTTTGTAATTTAGCAGTTTTTGAGCTTCACTTTTTGCATGAGAGCGTTTTCGGTTTTCTGCTTCACTAAGCTTTTTACTATAAACCATCGCCGCGTTTAAAATAAGAATCCAACAAGACAGAAATGTAGCTGATGAGAATGAACCGACAACTGAGGAGAATGAACTGCAGGAGACTGAGATGGAACTGGAGGTTGAGGAGACGGTGTCAAATTTTGAGTAGTGTTGTTTTGTGTATGTCCATAGGTGTAATATCCCAAAGCAGCTTCAAAAATCACATTGTTGATTGCATTTTTCTCGTAAATTAAAGTTCATTGATCATATTTACGGAGTTTGTTTCAATGTGCTGGCCGTAAGTGAAATATGAATCAGTTGCCGATGATGTTTCATTTAGAATTTGAAATGCTTTTTTCAGCATAGGTGACTCTTCTTCAGTATTTTGTTTCCTTTTTGTTTTTTTGACTATAGGAGTATTAGGAGCTTTATGAATATCTGTTGGTTCTTCTACATGTTTATCTGTACTGTCCATAGCTGATAATTGTATTGGTTCTATACATTGTTTTCATGTATTATCACATTTTGAGTTGTTGATATCTATAAAACAACGAATAAAGTTTAGAAAAAACTACGAACTCACTCTGCTGTATTATAGTAGGTGTCGAATAGACCTCAGTGGGTAGTTCACTATATAATAGATGTGTTAAATTTGAATGCAATGATATATTATATACTTTTGTACGAAAAATGATTCTGAACGAAGACGATTGTCAGCCTAGGATAATTTATATCATTACATTTATGCAAACTTAAACTTTAAACGCTTATAAAAATATTTACAGATTATCACTCGAATTGTTCAGAATCTAAAAGTTGATAATATTATGCTTATTAAAATGTTTCAGGCACCCGACTCAGAAGAAGAATGATTAGAGTTAGCACACGAATTTGAAACAAAATGGAATTTTCCGCATGCATAAGGCGCGTTAGATGGCAAGCATGTAACGTTACAAGCCCCTATTAACAGCGGTACTGAATTTTATAATTATAAACATTCTTTTAGTATAGTACTAATGGCTTTAGTAGACGCAGACTATTGCTTTAGTTACGTAGATTTTATCAGGGTAGAATTTCTGATGGGGATGTTTTCAAGAATACTAATTTGTACAAGAAACTCGAAAAAAAATCTATGAAAGTCTCCCCACCATCAATACTTCAGGTCCCCTATACTTTCAAAGTACCGTATATAATTCTGACTGACAAAGCTTTTGCACTCAATGATTACACAATGAAACCATTTCATGGAGAGCCGGCTAGAGGTTCTCAGGAAAGAATCTTTAATTATAGGCTGTCTCGAGCGCGTAGAGTCGTTGAAAACGCTTTCGGTGTTCTCAACTCAGTATTTAGAGTATTGCGGAAGCCTATGTTACTAGAACCAAAAACCGCTACTAAAATTGTCCTAGCCACTATTCATTTGCATAATTATTTGAGGAAAAAACCAAATACGCGATCACTGTATACACCACCTGGATGACTAGACAGTGAAACAGATGGGGAACTTCCACCTGGAACTTGGAGAAATGAACCTGCACCTACATCACTACTGCCTATTCCTTCAATTCCACGAAGAGCGGGAAACCATGCACAAGAAATACGTGCAAATCTAGCTTATCATTTTGTTACCAACGGTGAAATACCGTGACAAAACAGTTATTAAAACAGATATTACATTATATCATATTATTAAATTATTATTTTAATTATACATATAATTGTATTAAAACAGATAATAAAATTTTAACTTACATCTTCCAGCTCCAGCATCGTGCCTGATGTTTCATTAGGCACGTCTTTATCTTTCATAAAATTAAAGTCGTCAAAAGCAAACCACTTTGATAAGTAAACTTGATGTGTACCTAAAATATAATTAATAATTCATAAGTGTAAAAGGTTATAATAAGTTGTTTAAATAATTATGTTACAATTAAAACATGTCTTAAAATAAATTACTTATTCATTTGGTATTAACTATTTAAGTTAAATTGTATTTAGGCATAGGCACTTAAATTTTATTGTCGTCGTAGTATTTTATCTGCATAATAACATTTTACTAAATGTCTATAGACCATATGTGAAAAATATTAAAAATACATTGTCAAAATTTTCTTTAATAAAGATTTAAAGTTCAAAATGTTCAAATATTGACAAAATACCCAAAAATCACAACAATTTGCAAATTATTTTGAGTTAGAAATTCATAAAAATTAATACAAGATTCTTTAAAAGTATGTCTACCTTCATCAAAAAAAAAATGTCTACAAGGAAATCAAATAAAATTTTTATGAGCATTTGAAGTTCATATTTTTACAACTTTGGATATTCACTCGATTTCTCTTGTAGCGATTCTCTTATTTTGTTGTAATTGAAAAACGAATAACCGTAGACACTTAAAATTTACACAACATGTTTATTATACAATTTTCTATACTTTTTATAATTTTCAAAATATTTTGAGTCGTTTCCAGGTGTTTGCAAACTTATTTCAATTTCAATATTTTTATTTTTTTTTTTTTATAAATTTCAATAATATTTTATTTGTTGGGTCAAAAAGTGTGAATATTTCATATAAAGCTCCTGGTATATTGTTACAATAGTAGCTGAAAAATATGAAAAAATACATAGGCACATTTTTTTTTTATAAGCATTTAAGGTTATATTTTGACAAAATTTAACAAAATCTCAACCCATAAGAACATATTGTATAAAATGCATATAAATATAACATTTTAGGGAATATTGGAATATTGGAAATAACTAACAGCGAAATGTTGCGTACCGACCATGTCATCGGTATTTTCCATTTCTATTTTAAGACATTTATATTGGTGAAAACAATTTACATGAACACAGTAATATACTAATATGGGTAACTTATCATTGATTATCTGACTGCCGAAAATAATGTATTTATTACGAGTAAACTATATAGGGTTATATCACTTATATAGTTGTATTTACCGCTTGCTATTTTTAAAGGATACAAGAGGATACTAGAATTCTGAAAATTGCCGAATAGTTGCAGACTTCGGAGGTCAAACCCCCCACCACACACACTACCAGTATAAAATCGCTCCTACCAACATTTCTTAAAATATCATATTATTATAAAATATATTATTTGGTATTTTGTAAAAACTTGTAAATTGGGATTTTTGTATACACAATACATCAGTACCTATTGTATAGTAGCTAAAGTATTATGACTATTTTTATAGTAAGTAAATATTTTTAAACTTTATTGTTTTCTAAAATAAATTAAAGTATATTAATATGCAATACTTACCAGAACCAGTAATGAGGCTTTTAGCTACTCTGTATTTTTCTCTTCTGTAGGATGCTTGAAGGGTGGTCATTTTCTTCTTTAATTCAGCAACAGGTAAGTTCATTAGTGAACTTATTTCATTCCACGCATCTTCCCTTAAAGTTTTATTGTGGTAATGTGGAGATTTACTATTCCACAAAAAATCTTAAGCGCCGTACAAACGTATTAAAACAAGACACTTTTCATTATCCATGATGTTGCGAACGAAATTTAAAACCGTTAAACGACAAAATGACAAAACCGTCCCAACTGCTAGCGAGCAATTAACTGAAATTCCTTTGCCGCGTGTCCAACTCGACCCAACCACCTGAGTTTGCAAATTGTAAGTATCCAAAAAGCATTTCCCAAAAAGCGGACATCCTAACGAAGCCAGAGATGTGCTTGGCTAAGTCGTAGTACGATATTATGATTTTTTTATGAATTTTTAACCAAACGTGTCTACCGGAGTAGTGTATATTACGTCTAATTGATACATATCGTACGAAATAAAATTACTTAAAATCCAAATTTGGTACTACAGCTTTCAAAAAGGTATCCCTCGACTCCAATTGACTCACTCTATACTACCAAATACTTTTAAGTCCCCTGGTAAGCGAATCGGACTTATAGTGGCGGATAAACGTGGTATATCACCATAGTAATACTGCACCAAGTACCGTTTTCTGGACAACTCGACCCCACCACCTGTGTTTGCAAATTGTATTATTGTATTTTTTATTATTACTATTGTAGTATTTGCAGCTACATGTTTGGCATTTGTGTTTACGTTTACTTTTTTTTTTATGTAAGCACATGTGTCGTTTGAGAGACTCTGTAGATGATAGTAACTTAAAGCAAATTGTGCATTCTACTTTATTGTGGGTTTGAAGGTGTTTTAGCATCCATGATAGTACCTAAGTAAATGATTTTGTACATTTTGTGCATGGACATTGTGGGACCAGACACATTTCTACGGACAAATATTAAAGGAGTATAATTTACATGTAACACAATAATATGTAAGCAATTTTGTATGCATACCTGTATCTGATACACTTAAGATTTCTTCTTCAGAAGAATCAGAATCAGAATCCGTAGTTGAGTCGCTATCTACGTGTACCTCCTTATCTGCAATTAAAATAATATACTGAGGTAATCGTAAAGACAATTAAAGGGAAATAAATCATAATCATCTCAAACTTTGTACTACCATGTTTTAAATTAATTTTTATGCATACCTGTATCTGTTACACCATTAGATTTTTTAGAATTTGAAGCACTATCTTCCTGTAACTCCTTATCTGTATTAGTTTCCTTTGCTACTAAAATAAATAAAAATTAATTAAATTAATTATATAATACTTTGTACTACCATGTTGTAAATGAATTTGTATACATACCTGTATCTGTTAAGTTTGTAGTTTTTATATGTTGGGCTAAATTACTTTTATTGATTCTCATACTGCACATGCAGCAATTGATACCTGTATCTGTTACACGAGATTCTTTAGAGGTTGAAGCACTATATACTTGTAACTCCATTTCAACATCAGTTTCCTTTACAACTAAAATAAAAATTAATTCAATTAATTATATACAGTTAAATATATTTTTCATAAATGTAGACTAATATTCTGGTATATATAAGATGATTTTTATTACTGTTTCATATGTTCAGAAAAATACACCTTATCTCAGGATTACTGCGGTAATTCTATAGAAAAGTAAAGGAAAATAAATCATAATCAACTCATACTTTGTACTACCATGTTTTAAATGAATTTGTATGCATACCTGTATCTGTTACAACATGGTATTCTTTACTTGAAGCGCTATATACGTGTAACTCCATTTCAACTACGGTTTCCTTTACAACTAAAATAAAAATTAATTAAATTAATTATATACAGTTAAATATATTTTTCATAGATGAAAATCAGAAATGAAAGTGAATTTGTATGCATACCTTCAGGGATATTCTCCTCGCTTACTCGTAACGCTGCTGTTACGTGTACCTCCTTCTCATCTGTATATTTTGTTTCCTTTTTTAACTAAAATAAAAATAAATTTAATTAAATAATTATATACAGTTCAATATATTTTTCATAAATGTAAACCAATATTCTGGTATTTAGAAATGAAAGTGAATTTGTATACATACCTTCAGGGATGAGATCTTTACAGCATGTACAAATAATTTAAAAAAAAATTGAATATTATAATTTTCAATATTTCTTTAAATTTTACAAATTATCTGAACCCTACAAAATATTAAATATGAATAAAAATATTACCAAGATGTTTGTCGACTATCGCTGGTGTACAAATATTGTCTGAACTTGCTAATATGTGTGATTTCTCGATTCTTCTAGTAGCCAGAGTAAATAGTAGTAGTACTATAAAAATACCGTTTGCTATTGAAAAAAGTAAAAGTTAATATAATAAAATAACTGAACCCTACAAAATATTAAATAAATATGAATAAAAATATTACCAAGATGTTTGTCGACTATCGCCTACGGTAGGTCGATTCTGTAAGTCGATAATAATGTATCGAATAATATCGATAAGAATTCGTTAATGAGTATCACTAAATGTATCGAAAATCGTTATCAAAGTTGCGATTCTATAAAACTCTTTATCGACAAACATTGATACATAAAAGGTTATCGAATTTTCGATATGAAATAATTATTCAGCGGGAGATTGTAAACTGTAGCCAATGAGAACCTCAAGTTTTAAACATCTGGTTTTATCATTATCACCATCGGTTTCGTTATCATTAACTGATTTTCATTGTTTGAATATTTATATTAATATATTAATATATTATTATAATTTATAAATTGAAAGTTATTGTCTTAACGTTTTTCATTTTGTAACTTAAATAAATTGTAAATATAAATATAACAAATGGATACCATAAATACCCAAAGCAGGTAAATAATCGTTTAGTTATTTGTTTAATGTATTAATTTGCATTGTTCATAAATATTGAATTATTCATTGTCACACAGTAGCCAAGTTCAGAACTGCAAAAAATCAAGGCAGGGAAGAAGGAATGAAAAACAACTATCTTTTTTAGTTGACTACATGGTCCAACATCCACATGTAGCCACAGGAAAATTTAATTCTGTCCACGGAAGGGATGACTTGAGAGGTTCATGGGATGATTTAGTTGTGAATTTAAATAATTTGCGAAACCAGGGGGTTAAGGAGAAGGATGTGAAATCGTGGAAAGAGGTTAGTATTCAATTAAATGATAGCAAATTGTAACTTGTAAGTGTTTCTCTTATAGAAAAATGTAAATCATAAGATAGTGTCCATAATTTTTATGCTGTATTGTATAAATTATACAATGTGTTTTTAAAGGGTTTTGTTATATTATAGTCATGGAGGGACCTGAAGACTAAAGTGTCCAAACAACATTCTGCTCTCCGGAACGCCAAAAGACTGACTGGGAATAAGGCTATAAACATTCCGGAGTTGACTGACAGGGAGAACAAAGTTCTCGGTCTAATGGGTTATGAATATGTAGAAGGCACAACTTGTCCTGATTCATTTCCAGACGATCAAGTATTAAAATATGAATTATAATTGTTGAAATAGTGATATTTCACAAAAAAGGTACATGGGTTTATTATAATGTAAATTTTTTATGGTAGTGTGATGATGTTGAACGTTTAGCTGCAGGTGATCATTCCATACTAGAAACCGAGCCTATACCAATTAGAGCTCATGTTGATAATGAAAGTAAACAATTTAAAAATAATTATTAATTAGGGGTGTTGTACCTTGGGACCATCTTATTGTAGATATAATAAATCTATACATGAGTATTTTTTTTTTAAAACAAATTATTTAGTACATGCATACCTACCAATTTGGAAAAAATGAATTTTTTTTTTAGACCTTAATAAAACTTTTTTGTATGAATTAACACCATTTAAAATTGTCATTTCAAAATATTTAACGGAAAATGGCACTAACCTTAATAACTTCTATCACAAATTTAAATGTTGAAGATTTAAAAAAACCAAAAATAGTTATTTTAATAGGTGAAATTAAATTGTTTTACTATAAATTCATCAGTGGTTTTTTTGTTCTAACTGAATATATTTCAATGTCATAGAACTAGCGACTATAATTTCCTCCTCGAATTAATTCTTTACCATTTATAAAGGCAGAAATAAATATAAGACCAAGGTACATGCGGTCCAAGGCACAACACTCTCCCCTACTATATAACTAAATACAATTTGTTAAAAATGTAATTGTTTGTTTTTGTTAGTTGTTTTTGATCATTTAAATCAAACTGCCAATGAATACATTATTGAATATGATGAGCAAGATGAATCTACAATTGCAACTCCAAATTCAGCTCAGATTTCAAGTTATCAACCTGAAATTCCTGTGTCAACTTTAAAAACTAACTTTCGTAAAAGAAAACTGGTTCAAACTCAAAACAATATGGGTAAATGTTTATATTTTTAAAGAGAGCAATTTTACATACCAAGTGAAGTAGGCTACTGAGATTTCAGTTTTTTTTCTCATCAACTTTTGGGGTAGTTGAAAAACTAGTTGAAAATATTTTGATTTAGCTAAAAAGAATTTAAGAACCCAATTGGGAGATGCAAGAGACACATTCACTAAGTTAGCTGAAAGAAATGCACAACATATGGATGTAAATATTAATAAATGTATTTGTATGTAGATATTCTTTTAATGATTATGATGATTTTGTTACTTTTTCAGAATATAAGTCTATCTATTTCTCAGTTGGCAAGTGCTATGAATAAAATGGCTGAAAATGATGAACGGAGATTAACAAACGAGGAGAATATGGTGTCTGTTATGAAACTGTTAGTCGAAAAAATGTAGTTCCTTAATGTTAACAGATATATATATATATATATATATATATATATATGTATTATGTATATAAATCTAAATCTGTATTATTATTATTTTGTTTGCTTCAGAAGTCGATTTATTTTATTTTATTTTCTTAAATGCATTTATTATGTTACTATTGTGTAAATATTTAGTAGTTATGTTATTTTCAAAAATGTTGTTGTGGTAAATAAGTGCCTATTTTGATTTGTTATTAATACAAAATTTGAACAAAATTAAATGGCATTTCAGTATTTTTTAGAAATTCATTAAAAGTTAATTATGTTCATAGAGAATTTATAATAATTAACTTCGCATTCATTTTGAGTTCAACCAATTTTTTTTAATTTTTATACAAAATTATTTAAACAAAAAAAATGAAACAGAAATATTATACAAACATGGCAACATAACAATTAGAGCCCCACAATGATTCAGCGAACTTATATTTATAGTGAATACACAACGCCGGCCCCGGTATTTGATGTATGATACATTATTATTGATCACCATCAACATAATTAGGGAACCAGTTTGCCATTAACTGTTTCTGTATTCTCATTGCAACCACCCTTGGTCCTCTTCTATCTTCAATTTCATTATTTTCATTAATTCTATTATTTCCTCCAACTGAATCTTGTTCAATACAATCTTCGAAAGGCAGAATAGGAAGACGATAATGAACACGCATGTTATGTATAACTGCGCATGCATTTACAATTTTTCCAGCAGTTACAGGTGCATACATCAATACACGTTGATATGAGAGGCATCTCCACATACTTTTGAATACACCGAAAAATCTTTCTACAATGTTTCTGGCTTTGCAGTGTTTTTTGTATATTGATACTGTCGTGTCCCTTCTGGATAACGCGTTATTGGTGTTAAAAGCCAAGGCTCAAGAGGATAACCAGCATCACCTTGAAATAATCATGAACACTTTTACAACTCATATAATTCAATAGTTAGTGTTAATAATTATTTAATATTATTAGTACCAATTAACCATGTGTATCTTTCACCCCTATTGTAATGAAATTCTATAGCCCTCCGTATAGGAGAAACACTCCATATGTAAGAATCATTTCTTGCACCTGGGAATCTGGCGTTAATATTTAATATTTTTAACTCTGGATCAACTACCTAAAATTAAAATTTCAAAAATTATTTGTGTTTCACAATTAATATTATTCTATACATACCGCTTGAACATTTAGAGAATGGTTCCCATGATGATTCACGTATGCTTCTTCATGATTCTTTGGGGCAAGAATATTTATATGTGTGCAGTCAATAGCACCAATAGAACCTTCAAAAGCTTGTGGGGCATTTGAAAACTTTTCTCGAGCCCTGTCCCTTTCAATTGCTGTCATTGGAAAACGAACCCAACGCCTCAATAGTTTTTGATTTATAGCATTGGTTACACTATGTATGCATCTGCTGACCGAGGACTGACTAACATTTGCAATAAAATTATCTCCTGTAGCTCGTTGGTAACTACCTTTTGCATAGAAGTTCACCACTACTAAAACCTAAGTGTGAAAAACAAAACAACAATATTGTACAAATAACAAAAACAGTGTATATTTTATGGACTAATTAATTTTGTAATAATTCAATAGGTACATTAGTATCTAATTAAAAATAAACAAGTGTAAAAGTTTAACACATTTATAATTGTATATAACAATGCTTAGGTTAAAATATATCTAAAATTGTATAATTACTTGAATTTCAACTGGAAGTCCTGAACTACGTTCACGTTGAAGTGAATCACGAATGCTGTTTGTTAAGTCCATAGCAAGTTCTGGACTAACTCTGAATGTGTTCATGAATTCGTTTATTGTAGATATGGATTTTGAGTATCTCTGAGTACTTTTCTCTCTACTCTCCTTCTAACATCCTAACCCTTTCTTCCAACTCTAACAATTCCCAACCAAGATAATATTCAGCCATAATATTATTGTATAAACAACTTTTAAAGCTAAATATGCAAAAAATAACAATAGACAAGAGCAGGTATAAATATTTATAATTATTTTATTTGTATTTTAACGATATATCCAATTAAACGACTATAGGTAAATTAAATGTGTGAAACTGTGAAAGTATGAAAGATGTCGATGTGAAGGTGTGATAATTGATAATGATAAATTATAATATATTTTATGATTCGATAAGCGTAACGGCCAATCCTAACCATCCGATACGATATCGAATATTTTCGATACTTATCGATAAAATTCGTTACAAAATTGTTACAGAATCACTCTATTGATAACTTTTCGATAGTAGTCAGTAGTATATATTTGTATGTTCACAGCCAGCTTTTCCAGGGAAAAAAAAAAAGTTCAAGGGGAGAATGTCCCCTTGGAGCACTCAGATTTACCGTGTAACACAATTTCACACTGATTGACTACCAAATTTCGTCTCACACAAAAAATATTTAACATTTACCAATTTTTAAAACTAAAATAATTATTTCAAGAAAAAACACAAATTATTAAATCATAGTTTTTTTTATTGTTACAAATAAATTCTTAATAATATTTACACAAGTTTTCTTACTTCTCTAGTAAAAGGTACATATTCTACAATACGATCATGAATTAAGAAACAGTAAGCAGTACTACCTGTGAACGATTCTGAAGCTTCAATTTCCAATTGAACATCCACTGCTGAGGCTGTGGCTGAATCGTTTTGTTTCGAAGTATCGATAACTATAATTGGAGCGTTTGTTAGAAAAGTAGAAGGACTCAATATCGTGTTGCGAATACTTTTTTCATAGTACGATTCTTGAAACGATGTATACATATTATATAATAAGGTGAAGTTATTTTTAGTAAAATCTAAATTCAAATTATCGTATGGATAAGCTATAGAGTTCAGAAATACTTTAACGTTTGTTAAATTACAATGATCAAATATACTACAATCTTTTGTTAGCAAATTTTTGCGTCCTTTTTGTAATCCAATTATGATAAATCGCGGTTTTTCTAATTTTGAAGCAGTTTTCAAATTCCATACAACTTTTTTAGTGGTTCCGAGTTCAGGATATTCAAAAGTTTCAAAAGATCTAAAAGGGATAAATAGACTTTTTTCTTTTTCTATAAGTTTCAATAATTTCAACCTTTCTTCATCGTCGACCGTTATATGTGGGACCTTCCAGACTATTTTATTTAAGGTGATTTTACCTTCAGTAGCAGTTGCACCACTTTTAACTTGTAAAGCATTTAAATCACTATGACTTCGGGTTAATATTAATTCCAATCTAGAATTCACTAATATTCTTTTATAGTCTTCAAACAATCCTAACCAATATTTCAATGGTATGCAAGCACTAAATTCACCTTTTTCATTTTCCGATTGCGTTGCGTTTTTAAAATTCCAGCCAGCATTTTCATAACAATTGTAGTTATCTGGCGTACCGGATAAGTAACCTTTCAACGAGCTGGTGATTCCAAGAACACGTGTGCTATCTACTTCTATCCCATTGATTTCCAATCGTATTTGTTCGAAGAGGTAAGAGTAACCGTTATTAGATAGTTTCACTTTGGTAGCATCAGTAATTGTTCCTTCCAAAAAAATAAAGCTTTCGTGTAGATATGGGTAGACATCCGTTTGCTGGATTGATATACGTATTTCATCATTATTATTAAATGATGTAGTATACGGTGTGTATGAATGATATTTAATTTTCGTAATTTTAGAATCCGTTTCGTACTGTGAAGTTATATCTAAAATATCACTCTCAGGCATTCTGCTTTAATTGATAACCCAGAGCTTGTAAAATTTTTTTATTTTTTACCGTTAATTTTTTTATCTTATTTGATGTTGCTGGTAGCACTTTAGTCTTATGACTAGTTGTGCTGATCCGAAGTAGCGGGTTTATATTGAATTTCAACCCCATCTCAAGACCCGTAACGTTTAATATGTAACACGATTGTCAATGCCTCACCAAAATTATCAATCGGATTATGATCTTGATCAACTAACTGAACGGTTATCGAATCAATATTTGTTTTATTCAATTTGTAATATATTAAATTTGGCGGTGCCTGAATTACTTTCGACCCTGTCTTTCCACTCGGGAAAAACTCATAAATCGAATGACTCTGAAGATGGTTGCTGAATGATCCTTGAGCTATATTACACATTACTTTTATAGAATTAATTGTGTTTAAATTTACAGCTTTTTCCGATCGAAGAATGTTGTATGGATTATATACTCGTTTTTCAAAACCGAATACAGGTGCTATACTAAATGGATATTCAAAGTGTAGTATCCCATTACATTTTATATACGATCTGAAATCATCAGGATCAACCGTAATGTCGAATGTTAAATTGGTCAAGTTTTTACTATTATAGGCAACTATTTGCTTCTTAACTCGATCCTTAATATCTTCAATTTCATAACAACCCTCTTCCAATGTAATAAAACATATCATAGGATTATTATTGTTTTCATTATCAACTACTTGTATAGAAAATTTATTATTATTTTCATTAATATTTGGGAATGAATTAAATGACTGTAAACATAACAAAGCTATTTCTGAGTCATCGTAAAGGTTTATAGGTGGAAAATAATTTACAGATAATACAGTTGAATTTCCAGTCAAACTTAATGTAATAGATTCATGCATTGTAAAAATTCAAGACATAAATGACCACAGTTAAATGTATTGAAGTCTTGATAGTTGGAATAGTTATATACTATTTTGAACTGTCTGAAATAATGTTGTAATTCAATTGGTGGGGGTAAATCACCAAAGCTATCAAAATATACAACTTTGTCCTTATTTTTATAAAACGCTACCCAATGGCTTCCATCGCCTGAAGATATATCCAAGTTTAATATACCACATTCAATAGCGTGCGGTTTTTTAGGTAAGTTATCACGTGAAAAGACTCCACGGAAATGATTGATTTTCAACTTTCCAGTATATTTTATAATATCTTGAGACGAAAGCGGTCTGTCAGGTAGCGTGATCATCAGTTTTTTTTTCTTAACCTATTCTTGTTTGATTTCAAACCGCTACCTTTTTTTCTTTTTGAATTTTGAACCGCATTATACACACTAGCACCTCCAGACATCAAACTACCAAGTGCTGACAATCCCGCAAATATAGGTATTAAGGGAATTACACCTCCTGACTGTCTCGGTGCTAAAATCAGTCTTTTACCGCCATTCTTTTTCTTTAAGATTCTTTTTTTCTTCGCTGCTAGTATACCATTTGTTTTTATAGCACTTTTCCGTTTACAACCCATACCTATTTTTCTTTTAGCTTTCATTGCGTTTGTTACTGCGTACGCAACTAATTTCTCTTTTCTAGGTGTATCTTTTGCTTTAAATCTTTCCCAAGCACGATTTTCTAACACTTTATCAGCTTTATGTCTATCGTCTAAATTCTTACTCGTTGCATACACAATATCGTGATCACGACAAGCAGCATCCAATGGGTTTATTCCTTTATCACCACGATCTAGTCTCTTTTTTAATTTCGTACCAGGACCACAATACTGATATCCTGAAACATGGGCTTCGAACGGGAGACTATTTATAAGGGAGTTTACAAATCCTTTACCAGTCTTGTTTGAATTGTACTTACGAGTTGAACCCGCCATCTATAACTGACTATAAATTGGAAAATTCTAGAGTATTTATAAGAAAATAATATGGATTTGATAGAACAGAAAGATAAATTGGATGTTACAAATGTAGATGTTCAGGTAGTAAAAAAACCTTCACGACATGGTTCGTTATTACCCGATACTATACGTGCTATACTAGTTGGTCCCAGTGGCTCAGGAAAAACAAATATAATGTATAATCTGATCACACATGCAAACGGGTTAAGATTTGAAAATATTTATTTATACTCGAAAACCTCTAATCAGGAAAAATATGTTTTATTGAAAAAAATAATAGATGATATAAAAGGTGCTAATTTTTTCATATTTACAAGCGCTGATAAGGTTATAAAACCAAACTTAACGAAGAAAAATTCTATTATAATTTTTGATGATGTGATGTGCGGCCCACAATCTGTAATCAGAGAATACTTTAGCATTGGTAGGCATTCAGGTGCCAGCTCCGTATTTTATTTAGCACAGACATATTCTAAAATATCAAAACAGCTTGTAAGAGATAACGCAAACTTTTTAATAATACTGAAACAAGATGATACAAATTTACGACATATATTCAACGATCATTCGTCTGCAGATATGGATTTCTCAGAATTTCGGAAAATTTCTCATTTATGCTGGAATCATAGCTATTATGGGTTTATGGTTATCGATAAAACTCGAGAAATGAATGAAGGAAGGTATAGATGCGGTTTTCATACATTCATTAAAATAAAATAATTTTATGTGTTGATATAAATATACCGCCACACAGTTATTATCTGCATAGTGTAATCAGTAGTCATACGATACAGATATATTGCATTTATTATTTACAATGAACAAAGAAAAAGTCTTGTTGGAAAATTTAATAACATCAAAACAAAATATACAACGAAAAATAATGGAAATGAAACGTGGTGTTATAGATTCTGAAAACTATTTCCGTGAGGCATTTAAGCCGATAATTGAACCATTGAGTACACATGTGAAACAAAATGTAATATGTAACACACGGTCAACTGAACTAGAAAATAAAGCAGAAACCCCGTGCATTAGTGAAGAAGATAATGATGATGAATTAAATTCATCATATGAAAATGTTTTAAATAACCGTCCTAAATCAACACGTTATGATAAATCTTATGGTATGTATTATGATAAAGATAGTGATTCATATAAAATAGGAAAACATTCT